AGCCAGACAATTAGTCAGGCAGACAGCCAATGAGCCATGCAGTCAGTCAGCCAATTAGCCATGCAGTCAGCAAGGCAGACAGCCACTGAGCCATGCAGTCAGTCAGCCAATTAGACATGCAGTCAGCAAGGCAGACAGCCACTGAGCCATGCAGTCAGTCAGCCAATTAGACATGCAGTCAGCAAGGCAGACAGCCAATGAGCCATGCAGTCAGTCAGCCAATTAGACATGCAGTCAGCAAGGTAGCCAGCCAGCTAATAAACCATGCAGCCAACCGGCTAGGCAATTGGCTATGCAGTCAGCAATGCAGCTCGCCAGCCAATTAGCAATGCAGCCAACGAACGAGTTAGACAATTAGCATTGCAGCCAGCAAGACAACCGGCCAGCCTGGCAACTAGGAAGCTATCCAGCCAGACAGTCTGTTGAATAGCCAGTCAGCCTACCAGATAGCCAGAGAGCCAGCCTGCACAGCAAATAGACACAACGGGCGGACATATAGACAGGCACGCAGACAGGTAGTCAGAGAGCCAACGAGGCCTGCCAGAAATGTATAGATAGCAGCATGGCTTGCCAGCTGGGCAAAAAATCTAGCTGGTTTACTAGCTCGCTAGCCAGTCAGTCATTATGTTAGCCAGTAAGGCAGTCAGCAAGCCACGCAACAAAACAGCCAGCTATAGAGCAGACAGGTCGCTAAGTGGGCAGTTATCCGGCTAGCAAGAAAGGCAGGCAACCAGTCAGCTAGCCAGGCTGCTGGATGGCCAGGCAGGCAGGGCAGGCGGGGCAGGCGGGGCAGGCGGGGGCAAACTTACGCCAAGGAAGGCGGTGAGCTCGTGACCGAAGGCCATAGCCATGCAGGAAGAAACCAACGCCGGTGGGTAGAGGGAGCGGGTTAGGTTCGAGAAGGTGACGCAACATTAAGGGGTCAACATGAAGGGGTCAACATGAAGGGGTCAACATTAAGGGGCCAACATTAAGGGGCCAACATTAAGGCGTCAAAGATTTATAGGTCAGCAATAAACAGTTAACATAAAGGGGTCAATAAAAAGGGTTCAACATTAATGGGTCAGCATAAAGGGGCAATATAAGGGGTCAACGTATCGGGGTCAACATTCAAAGGTCAATAAAAAAGGATCAATAAAAAAGGGTTCAACATTAATGGGTCAACATAAAGGGGCAATATAAGGGGTCAACGTATCGGGGTCAACATTCAAAGGTCAACAAAAAGGGGCCAACATAAAGGGGTCAACAACAAGGGGTCAACATTTCGGGGTTAGCATAAAGGTGTCAACATAAAGGGGGCAATAAAAGGGGTCAAATGAAGGGGTCAACATACAAAGGTCAACTCAAATTGGGTCAACATAACGGGGCTACATCTGTAGACGGTCGTGGAACTGTGCGAGGGAGCGCTTCGGCGAAGCTGCTCCGAAACTGAACCCCCAGGGCACGGTGGGGGGTGTGGGTGTGGGGGGTGTGGGGGGTGTGGGGGGGCGTGGGTGGGTGGGGGGTGGGTGGGGGGTGTGGGTGGGGGGTGGGTGTGGGTGGGGTGGGGGCTTCCGGGCGGGGCGCTAATTGGATCCCACTGTCACGCACGCCTCGTGAAGAGCGCCATTCATTCTCAAAATACTGCACCTCTCGGCCAGGCGATGTGCATAGGATAAACATTGTCAAATAACGGGAGAGAGAGAGAGGGTGAGTCAGCGAGGAGGCAGGAGTGTGGGTTGTTTTCTCCTGTTCTTCTTCTTGGTTCTTTCGGTAAAGTCACGTAGAAGGGAAGTAATAAAATAATACAAATAAAACACAATAAAATAATTCTCACGACGTTTCGGCCACAACGCAAGCAGGCGTCTTCAGGTGGAGAACAGGTCTGTCGAGTAGACAGAGTCTGAATGGAGAACAGGTCTGTGAAGTAGACAGATTCTGAATGACTCTGTCTACTTGACAGACCTGTTCTCCACCTGAAGACGGCTGCTTGCGTTGTGGCCGAAACGTCGTGAGAATAATTTTATTATGTTTATTTTTATTATTTTATTATTTCCCTTCTACGTGACTTTACCGAAAGAACCAAGAAGATGAATCCCTGCAGTCACGAAAGCTTTACATCGAAATTTCTCCTCTTCTTCTTACGTAAAACTCTTGAATTGAATCATGGAAAGACACGCTTGCAATGTGCAACGCAGACAGAAGCCTCTTGCACTCCTGTAACCTGCTATGGCAGGGGTTGGGAACCTTTTTGACTGGGAGAACCATAAAAGCCAAATATTTCTAAATATATTTCATTGAGAGCCATATAGTATTTTTCACGTATAATATTTTAAATAAGTCTTACTTTTAATGCGACTTCTGGTCACGGGACCCGTGACCCGAGAAATTTTATCTTCAAAACTAATTTCTGTTTACTTAAAAATGACACAGTATTATTAAGCAATATCACAAGTATTTTAAAATCAGTTCCAAACTGATGTTATTTTAAAATTTTTAATTATTTTTTTCCGTCACCGGAAGAGCCATATATGGCTCGCGAGCCATAGGTTACCGACCGCTGTGCTATGGCAACGCAGAGTGCAATACACAGGAGTGCAGAGGGTTTCCAGAACAACAACAACAACAACAACGCCAGTCCTCACGGCCCACCACCACGGCACCCATGTTCCTCTCTGCGTTCGCCAATTTACGCCTCCCCAATTCAACGCTGAAATGCACTCGATGATTGTTTCGATTTAAAGCTTTCGTGACTGCAGGGATTCGTCTTCTTGGTTCTTTCGGTAAAGTCACGTAGAAGGGAAGTAATAAAATAATAAAAATAAAACATAATAAAATAATTCTCACGACGTTCGGCCACAACGCAAGCAGCCGTCCTCAGTTTTATTTTTATTATTTTATTACTTCCCTTCTACGTGACTTTACCGAAAGAACCAAGAAGATGATTACCCGGCGTTATTTGTAAGAGCCCTCCCTCTAAGTGACGAGGCTCCGTCACTTCAAAAAATAAAAAAAATATTGACGGTGCTCATTTTCTGCGGTGGTGACGCGGTGGCTAGGAGATGTTAACGACCTCGCCTGGGACGTGGGTTAGATCCCGACCCTGACGCCTGCTGCCGTTTATTTGTAGTTTGCGTGTCTCTCTCTCTCTCTCCGTGGTGAGAGGTTAGCTACCTCGCCTGGTGTGCAGGAGTTCGTGGGTTAGATCCCGACCCTGACGCCTGCTGCTGTTTATTTGTAGTTTGCGTCTCTCTCTCTCTCTCTCCGTGATGAGATGTTAATGACCTCGCCTGGTATGCAGGAGGTCGTGGGTTCGATCCCGACCCTGACGCCTGCTGCTGTATATTTGGAGTTTGCGTGTCTCTCTTTCTCCCCGTGGTCTCGCGGATTTTTCTCCGGGTCCTCTGGGTTTTCGCTCCACATTTCGAATAAACATCGCGCGTTCATAGTATATGGGCAGCTTTTTATTTCCACGCGATAAGCCACTTGGTTGAGCTATAATTTGTGGCCAAGTCGCTTCTGAAAAAGAGCTATGTAGCTCAGTGGGCCTTACCTCGTTAAAAAAAGAAGTAGTTTATTCCACATTAGCATGCCATCGGTATAGGGTCTATGGCACAGAGCAAGAAGGAGGCGAGTGACTGTTGAATTCCCGCCTACAAATTGGTGCCTATTTTATCGACCTCTGAGGGCGAGGCCTAGACCACTGAAGCTACCTGTCCACAAATGATAGCTCAACGAAGTGGCTCATCATCATCATCACGTGGACATTTACAGGAGCCACATTTTCCAAACGTGTGATTGTTGCTTCTAAAAATGTGGAGGGCGACAAAAACCGGAGGACCCGGAGAAAAATCCACGCGACCACCACGGGGAGAGAGAGAGAGAGGGGGGGACACGCAGACTATAAATATGCAACAGGCGTCGGGATCGAACCCACGACCTCCTGCATACCAGGCGAGGTAGTTAACATCTCCTTAGCTACCGTGATGATGGTGAGATAGAGAGACGCAAACTCCAAATATACAGCAGCAGGCGTCAGGGTCGGTATTGAACCCACGACCTCCTGCGTACCAGACGAGGTAGTTAACATCTCCTAGCCACCGTGATGATGGTGAGAGAGAGAGAGAGACACGCAAACTCCAAATATACAGCAGCAGGCATCGTCAGGGTCGGTATCGAACCCACGACCTCCTGCGTACCAGGCGAGGTAGTTAACATCTCCTAGCCACCGTGATGATGATGAGAGAGAGAGAGACGCAAACTCCAAATAAACAGCAGCAGGCGTCAGGGTAGGTATTGAACCCACGACCTCCTGCACACCAGGCGAGGTAGTTAACATCTCCAAGCCACCGTGATGATGATGATGATGGTGAGATAGAGACACGCAAACTCCAAATACACAGCAGGCATCGTCAGGGTCGGTATCGAACCCACGACCTCCTGCACACCAGGCGAGGTAGTTAACATCTCCTAGCCACCGCGGCGCCTCATCTAGACATGTTAACTGCACGCAAACCCGGATTCGAGCCCGTGCAGGATCTAAGCTCGAGTCATCTGCGCCACCCGGACTCCCTCGACTGTGAGTGCGTGAAGAGGCAGAGCTGAGGGTTCTTCACTCAGAGCTGGGGGGTGACGGGGGGGGTAGTGAGGGGAGGGGTGCGGGGGTTTGATGGGAGGGGTTAGGCTGCCTGTGTATTCTGATAATAGGGAGCGGTGGTGCAGCGGTTAGCGCCCTGCGTTACGAACCCGGCGACCCGAGTTCGATTCCCGCTCACGGCCACCAACACCGGTGGAGATTATCTGCAACGATCCGGGGCATCCCCTAGGTAGGCTCGGCCTCAAAACGAGTACCTGGTGCGATTGTGTAAACATCGCCATAGGTGCTATTCGCTAACAGCACTTGCCCCGAAGTTCATGTTAAGGCTATACGGGGGCTCTTAGTATTTGTGCATCCTGGTGCTTGTCGCCACTCAGTGGATGATGCGTGTGGCCATGTGGAGGTGCCACGTAGACGCATTTGGAGTGTCGCTTCACTCACCCTCGCCTCCCTGGCAAACGGCAGCTTCAGAGCCGCCAACAACGTGGGAAGACGCATTCGCCGTGGTCTAGATGAACACATGCGTTCAAACAGTTTGTTTTTAAGACTCGTTTTTCTAAAAAAAAAAGAGGTATTTTAAGGTGTTATTATCATAATTTTTTTGCAAAACGTATATGTCAATTTAAATACACCTCGTATTTAATGTTTCTTCCTGTCTCTGGCTTTTGGGCATGGGGCTAGAGAGACGAGTTTTCAAATCAAGGCTGTGCGTGCATTAACAAAGGCAAAGACAAAGATCCCCCGCATAGCCTCGGTAGACTTTTGGGGCAAGGGCTGTTCGCGAGCACCTTTTAAACATTAATAGAGACATCGCTACACATCCCCCCCCACCCCTTGTCGAGCTTTAACTGACTGTTGGTGCAAGTGCTGCGATCATTAACAGAGATAAAAACGCTCACACACACACAAGGGTGCGCAGTAGATCCCACCACCACCCCCCCTCTCTCCCATCTACCCACCGCGAACGGACGAGGCAACCAGCGGTGCGCTGGGACAAGAATGGGGTCTTTGAACGCCTTCCAGATCGCGCTGATGTGCGTGCTTCTCGCACACAAGACGGCTTTGGCGCAGGTGAGTTTCACTTGAAAAATTATAATACTCCGTATTCTTAGGTTTTTTCGGTAAAGTCACGTAGGTAAATTTTTTTTTAAATTAATAAAAGTAAAATTAAAATAAAATACAAAATAAAATAAAAATCACGACGTTTCGGAGGCAACACAAGCTTCCACCTGAAGACGGAAGCCACCTGAAGACGGAAGCTTGTGTTGGCTCCGAAACGTCGTGATTTTTATTTTATTTTTATTTTACTTTTATTAATTTTAATTTTTTTACGGAAGCTTGTGTTGCCTCCGAAACGCCGTGATTTTAATTTGATTTTTAATTTTATTTTTATTTTACTTTTATTAATTTTAAATTTTTTTTACGGAAGCTTGTGTTGCCTCTGAAACGTCGTGATTTTTATTTTATTGTTATTTTATTTTTATTTTACTTTTATTAATTTCAATTAATAAAAGCCGCAGGGCAGCGAGTCCGTATGGCAAATAACCCGGTGGCGGCGGTGGGTGTGAGGATATTGTAAAGTGTGATTAAAAAAACTATATTAGCACTTGCAGTTTAACAATATTATTCGTAATAAAGGTTTGTTGCTTTAGATCGCGTAAGCATAAATGTGTCGTAACCCTCCACCACCCGACACGCGCAGCCAATTAATTTTTGTTAACGTGGCAAATCCCTTACTAATTGGCTGTGTCGGGTGGTGGATGCTGACGACACAATATTTATACTTACGCGATCTAACCCAAAAGTTAATTATGAATTAAAGTGTTTAATTAAAATATATTTTATTACAACAGGCAGTCACGTGCAGAAAGCGTAGCTTCCACCACTGCGCAGCTATTGACGACGACGATGATGATTATTGATGATGATTATTGATGATGATTATTGATGATGATGATTAGGCCTGGACTGACCATAGGGGCAGCAGTCCGTAGGGAAAATGCTCCGATAGGGCGATGTGTGTGTGGGGATATTTTCAATGTGATCAGAGTAACGAGTATAACAAATCAAAATAAAATGTTTATTTAAATATTGTTAATACCTCTAATGTGTACGCTTCATTGCCTATTTACGCTCTCAGTTGGCATTAAAAGTCCCGCCACATTCGATGGCCTCAACATATTCTTCCTCACCGAATGCGCCCACGCAATGAGAACGCACGACAATTTGAGCCCGGCTGCGTTTACAAAATGCCTGCGCAGATTTTCTTCTATTTTAAATGTTACTTGTTTATATTTTTTAGTCCCAATCCTCTCGTCGCGCACGTGGCAAAAATAAACGCACGAGCAAGTTCGAGGCTTAAAATGACTGTTACACTTACTATAACATTTTATCTACATAATTACACCTTTCCATACTCACGTGTAATCTTATTTGTATTTCTGTATTTTAAGATTGTTTAATACGGCTAATTAACATTTCATATTTCGCATTTTATAAGGTCTACTTATTCATAATTTTAAAGATTTTAGACCTTTAGTATTACTTATACTTCGTGATGTACCACGTGCCATACCCCATGATGTACCACGTGCCATACCTCGTGATGTATCAACGTGTCATACCTCGTGATGTACCACGTGTCATACCTCGTGATGTACCACGTTCCATACCTCGTGATGTACCACGTGCCGTACCCCGTGATGTATCCCGTGCCATACCACGTGCTGTACCCCGTGCTGTACCCCGTGATGCACCACGTTCCATACCTCGTGATGTACCACGTGCCATACCTCGTGATGTACCACGTGTCATACCTCGTGATGTACCACGTGCCATACCCCATGATGTACCACGTGCCATACCTCGTGATGTATCAACGTGTCACACCTCGTGATGTACCACGTGCCATGCCTCGTGATGTATCAACGTGTCATACCTCGTGATGTACCACGTGTCATACCTCGTGATGTACCACGTGCCATACCCGTGATGTACCACGTGCCATACCTCGTGATGTACCACGTGCCGTACCCCGTGATGTACCACGTGCCATACCACGTAATGTATCTCGTGCCGTACCCCGTGATGCACCACGTTCCATACCTCGTGATGTATCAACGTTCCATACCCCGTGATGCACCACGTTCCATACCTCGTGATGTACCACGTGTCATACCTCGTGATGTACCACGTTCCATACCTCGTGATGTACCACGTGCCATACCCGTGATGTACCACGTGCCATACCTCGTGATGTACCACGTGTCATACCTCGTGATGTATCCCGTGCCGTACCTCGTGATGTACCACGTGCTGTACCCCGTGCCATACCCCGTGATGCACCACGTGCCATGCCCCGTGATGTATCCCGTGCCATACCCCGCGCCGTACCCACGCCACACCTCAGGGCGGCTTGCGCACCGTGACCGTGCGGGTCTTCCTGGACGTGTCCGTGGGCGGGGAGCCGGCGGGCCGCGTGGTGCTGGGCCTCTACGGCCACACCGTGCCCCGTACAGTCGAGAACTTCGTGGCGCTCGCCGATCCGACTCGTGGGCCCAAGAACGGCTACAAAGGCTCGCGGCTCCACCGCATCATCAAGGGCTTTGCCATCCAGGGTGAGACACGCATGCTCCTCCTCTTACTCCATCAGGATCATCGTCACCGTCATTATCGTCGTCATCATCGTCGTCGTCATCGTCGTCGTAATTTTCATCATCATCATCGATCGTCGTCATCGTCGTCGTCGTCGTCATCACAGTCGTTCTCATCGTCGTCATCATCACCATCTTAATCATCTTCATCATCAATGATGAATTGTCCACTACCATCACCGTCATCATCAATCATCATTATCGTTATCATCGTCATCATTATCATCAGCAACGATCAATCAACTGCTGGATGCATGTGGTAGTAGTGTTGTTTATTATGTAATGGACGTGGAATTTCTATCGCCCCGTACGTAGCCAACCGCGCGAATCGGAGGTGCGGAGGAAGAACAGCAAACTAAACACAACACGCGGCTCTAGATAAACGAGTTCGTCCACCTAGATGACTTTGAAGCGCATCGCTCCAGCGGCTTCCTAATATCGCAAGGGAAAAGCGTTCCAGACGGCCGCAGAAGCAGCAGCGGCATCTGAAAGCGCTTCGCGATGCGGTGACCGCCGTCTGTGTTCGACGGTGTTCGCTCGCTGCCGTAGAGAGAGAGGGGGGAGGGGACACAGACGGGCCAGGAGGAGGAACCACAGGTCGGTGGAGACAGCAGGTGACCAGTGAGCCTGTCCTGTGTACGCCCCCCCCTCCCCCCCGCGTCCCAAGCTCTGCGGTCCTCGACATATTAAATTGTTACCCGCCAATGGATGAGTATGCAAACATGTGGGAGGAGACCGGAGCACGCGTGCGAGGGGGAAACACTCTATCCCATGCCGACGGGACGTAACGAGTGCACATTTGGTCGCTGTGCCGCGTTCTCCTGGCAGAGCCAGGGGCACGGGTGCTTCGCAACGCCCACCCACGGGAAAGAGGGAGGTTCACGACAGCGTCTCCGTGTCTGCGACAGAGGTTGCAAACGGGTTTTGATTCCTTACCCGTACCCGGCCGCACCCGTACCCTAACCGTACCCGGCCGGGTACGGGTAGGGTACGTGTATAGGGTACCTGATTGCGACCTCTGGGATGAAGCCATGTTGCAGGCGCGGGTGGGTTGATTCTAGGAACTTGAATTGTGAGAAGAGACAAGACGTTGGGAAATGAGTGACAAACGGTTATTCAACAGTGACTCACGGCCTACCCGTACCCGGCCGCACCAGGGTCGCAAACGGGTTCCGTTTGGTACCCATACCCGGCAGCGGTCGGTACCCGTACCCGGGCGGGTACGGGTAGCCGGGTATCGGGTAGGGTACGGGTATCGGGTACCCGGTTGCGACCTCTGGTCTGTGATTCACCGACCCTCCCTGCTGCCTCCACAGTGGCTGGATCACAGGCAGCCACATGCAACAGCGTAGCTTACAACACTGCCCAGCTATTGATGATGACAATGATGGTGATTGATGATGATACTCTTAGTTCTTTCGGTAAAGTCACCATGTAGGTAAAAAATGAAATTAAAATTAATAAAAAATAAAAACAATAAAATCACGACGTTTCGGAGGCAACACAAGCTTCCATCTTCAGGTGAAACTGTCACAGCAAAAAATCTGTATCTTTTTTTTGCTGTGACAGTTTCACCTGAAGACGGACGCTTGTGTTGCCTCCGAAACGTCGTGATTTTATTGTTTTTATTTTTTATGAATTTTAATTTCATTTTTTACCTACATGGTGACTTTACCGAAAGAACTAAGAGTATGAATCCTTGCAGTCACGAAAGCTTCAAATCTAGAATTGATGATGATGATGATGATCAGGCCCGGACTTGACCACAAGGGCAGTAATAGGTAGGAGAAATGCCCTGGTGGGGCTAGTCCGTTCCGAGGGCTGTTGGGCCGGATCTGTTTGGCGAAATAGCAAACGTAATCAGAGTAAACATATATCCGTATGAAAATAAAAATATAAATACATAAAATGTTATTACATCTAATGTGTACGCGTCATTGTTTACGCTCTTAAGTCGGGCTTTAAGCCCCCATACATTTGTTTGAGTTTGTTTGGATGCAGCTACGAATGGGCCCCCGATGGGATCGCACGGCAGTTTGGGCCCAGCTGTGCGTTCCACAAAATTCCTTGAGGCCGATTTCTCGTCCCCAGTTCGTCACTGATGATGGCGACGATGACGACGACGGTACGGTGATGATGATGGTGTTGATGATGGTGGTGGTGGTGCCACCTTTTCGCCCCCCACTCCACTTGTCTCTCCCCGCCCTCCACCCCCCCACTCCGACGGGATGCCCAGGCGGTGACTTTGAAAAAGGCGACGGCTCGGCGGGTTTCAGCATCTACGGGAAACACTTCGACGACGAAAACTTCCGAGTGAAGCATTCGCCGTTCTGCATCGGCATGGCCAACAGCGGTACCTCCGCACCTTACCATAATAATAAAAAGTGGGCCATTCCTGCCCCTTCCCCTCTCCCCCCCCCTCAACCATTATATATACGGAGTGGTATCTCCTGTAATCTCTCATTTACTTGATACAGCTGTCGGGCTGTGACGGTTCCACCTGAAGACGGAAGCTTGTGTTGCCTCCGAAACGTCGTGATTTTTATTTTTATTTTATTTTACTTTTATAAATTTTAATGTTTTACCTACGTGACTTTACCGAAAAAACCTAAGAATATGAATCCTTGCAGTCACGAAAGCTTCAAATCTAGAACCTAGCCCACGGGTTGACGACGCTCACCCCCCCAGCCCCCCACGAATAAGCAAATGCACGCGCACGAACGAGAGGAGAGCGAGAGAGAGAGAGCGAGCGAGAGAGCGAGCGAGAGATGGGGGTTTACATAAAGCAAAGTTTAAAAATGTAAAAAAAAAATTACGAAATGATGAACGAAGCAAAGTGCCGAATACACCGAGCATCTTCTTGTTTCCACTGATCGTAAAAAAAATGACAAAAAAAGTCAAATTCTGTAGTAACCCACATAGCGTATACCCCCCCCCCCTTCCTACCCCCACCCTCGCCATCTGCAGGAGAGAACAGCAATGGCAGCCAGTTCTACATCACGACGGCACCCACCGCGTGGCTCAACTACCGTCACGTGGTGTTCGGCCGCGTGCTCACGGGCAGACACGTGGTGCGCGTCATCGAGGCAGTTCCCACGGGTGAGCTTGGGGCGGGGGGTGGGGGAGGGGGAAGTGGGGCGATTAGAAAGGGACCCATAGATTCACACAGAGACCCATAGACTCACACACAGAACCATAGACTCACACAGAGACCCATAGACTCACGCAGAGAACAATAGACTCACACAGAGATCCATAGACTCACACACAGAACCATAGATTCACACAGAGAACAATAGATTCACACAGAGACCCATAGACTCACACAAAGACCCATAGACTCACACACAGAACCATAGACTCACACAGAGACCCATAGACTCAAATAGAGAACCATAGACTCACACAAAGACCCATAGACTCACACACAGAACCATAGACTCACACAGAGACCCATAGACTCAAATAGAGAACCATAGACTCACACAGAGACCCATAGACTCACACACAGAACTATAGACTCACACAGAGACCCATAGACTCACACACATAACCATAGACTCACACAGAGATCCATAGACTCACACAAAGACCCATAGACTCAAATAGAGAACCATAGACTCACACAAAGACCCATAGACTCACACAGCGACCCATAGACTCACACAAAAACCCATAGACTCACATAGAGACTCATAGACTCACACAGAGACCCATAGACTCACACAAAATTCATAAGACTCGCACATAGAACCATAGATTCACACACAGAACCATAGATTCACACAGAGACCCATAGACTCAAACAGAGATTATTATTAATATTAGTGCATGACACATGAATCGTGGTTTTAAATGAATTTTGGACTTAAAGAAAAAAAAGATCACAGCTATATTCTTTGAACATTCATCAATTATGTTTCGTTATCACAATTCATTTAGGGTTCTTCTTTGCCGAGTTTTGTCAATGTCATCTGAAAAGGAAGAAGAATAAAACAAATAGATAATCATAACGATAATAGATACAATATTAACTTCAAGCGTACACTTCTTCATGCCAGTGTTAAAGTAAATCATACAACCCTATGCCTCCTGACTTTTGTGCCACCCTCTATAATAATGTAGTGGCTTCCAATTAGGTGCACACACACACAGCTTGGAGGCAACACCTATTTATTAAACGGTAAGTAACATAACACTGTACATGAGGTGGTGACCACCTTCCTCAACTCACTAACACTCTGGAAACACGACACAGACTGGACCAGGCAGGCAACGGGCTGTCTGGTCCAGGCCGACGACCCCTGGACTTGAGGACCGATGATGATGTCTTCACTTCGGAGTTCAACAGCCCCGCTCTGCATTCCACACCCTGCTTATATCCCCTTCCCAGGCCACGCCTCCCTTCCCAGGCCACGCCTCCCTTCCCCCACCTCTGGGAAGGTCTGGGTCCCTTCCACCACGTGACCCCCCAGGTCACCCCCTTGGGGCCCCCAGCCCTCGTACGGGCCGACACAGTAGTGACGTCCTATGTCACTACAATAATAACAACAACCCTATGTGTCCTGACATTTGGGCCACCCTCTCTACGTGTCCCCATGTTATCGTTGAGTACAGAGACGTCCGCAAACTCCCGTGTAGTGGACGGTGGGTGCACGTGTGCTGGGTGGACCCAAAAGGTGGTGTGGGTGATTGGGGAGGGGTCAATGATTCTAAATCGTTGTGCTGCCCCGCAGATGAGAACGACGTTCCCGTCAAGGAGGTGCTCATCGTCAACTGCGGGATCGAGGAATCGACTGCTGAAGATCCGGAAACGGATGGAGCTCAAGACCTTTGATCCCTAGCAGCGGTTCGCCCTGGTTGCCCGGCTAGATTTGCCACTTGTTTTCGGGGGAGAAGAGCGGGGTGATGACCGTCTCATAATCTGTAGAACACGGTAATAAGTCCAGAGGTGGGACAAAGTCATTGTTATGCAAGTCCAAGTCGAGTCTGAAGTCATCAAATTCATGACTCGAGTCTGACTCGAGTCCAAGTCACATGACTCGAGTCCACACCTCAGAGGTGGGACAAAGTCATTGTTATGCAAGTCCAAGTCGAGTCTGAAGTCATCAAATTCATGACTCGAGTCTGACTCGAGTCCAAGTCACATGACTCGAGTCCACACCTCTGGTAATAACACCCGCAATATTAACCAGGGCGGACGCTGAGCTCGAACCAAAAAACACGCTACCGCTAATGGCTATGGAGGGCAAGGGGGAAGTGGGTTAGGGGGGGGGGGGTTGAAATGTTAACAAGGTACGGCGCGCGTGCGTGCGCGTGCGTGCGATGGCATCTTCACACGGCCATCGGCGCGTTTAAACAATCATCTTGGAGCGTGGAGTGAGTCAATTTGTATTTGAGTGGGAAGGGCTTGAGGACTGGAGTTGTTTGGGAAACGCTGCGTTATATTGTCGAGGACAAGGCTGGTTCCTCTCTCTCTCTCTCCCTCTCTCTCGTCGACAAAGACAAAGATGCCCCGTGTAGCCTGCAACAGACTGTCGGGGCAAGTGCTGTTAGCGAGTAGTAGCGCATATGATGGGCGGCACGGCACACGAGTGAGTGGGTGGCCAGCACCACGCCCGGCCGCCTTTGTCTCCCCAGTAGCGATGTTTACTACACACCACCGCACCAGGTATTAATCTGAGGATGCTGCTAATCCTGCATAATGCACGGGCATAATGACTTAAAACCCCCCGCCAAACCTCCTACGCATTTCACAAGTAGTACAAATCGCATATCTGCATTTCCCATAAATATGCTAAACTCCTCTTGATATGCAAATTATTTTGTCAAGGCGCTCTTCCCCCCTCCATCCCAGCTTAAATAGTCGCTCCAAGCCTGGGGTGTGTCATTCAGACTCCGTCTTCTCGACAGACCTGTTCTCCACCTGAGGACGGCTGCTTGCGTTGTGGCCCATACGTGGTGAGAATTATTTTATTATGTTTTATTATTATTATTTTATTTTTTCCATTCTACGTGGCTTTACCGAAAGATCCAAGAAGATTAATCTGAGGATCGTCCATCGGCGGTCATATTATTACAATACAGTCGAGTATTAATGATCATTCATCCTCTGTCCCCGTGTTTTGAAAAACCACGCTCAGATCCTGCTGTTAATTGCAATATCGTCTGGATTTAAGAGGAAGAAGAATTAAAAAAACAGCTGCAATGTGTGAAATGCTAATGCCACGAAGGCGAACGCTAAGGAATGTGTTGCAGCGTGCCTGAGCGATGCTAATGGCTTTGCCGGCCCTTGGCTCTGAACAAAAGAAAAATCGGAGAATAAATAACGGGACCAAAACATGCGAGCGGGTCGTTCATTTGCCCGAGGCGTAAATAACGCGCTTCAAATATTTCCCTATTCATCCGGATTATGGAACGCTCCGCAAAATCGGAAGTCGCGACCCAAAAATGTGTGGCCCGATGTACAATAAAGGAATATACGCCAATCGGGGCATTGGTGAGTCACAAAGACAAAGACACTTCCCGTGTCGCCTGTGTCAGACTGCTGGGGCAAGTGCTGTTTGCGAGCACCTATGAAGGCCGGCACGGTACACGAGGGGGTGGGTGGCCAGCTACCACGCCCGGCCGCCTTTGTCTCCCCAGTGGCGACGATCTTTACACACTACACCAGGTACTCATTTGAGGCTGAGTCGAACTAGGGGAGGCCCACGACCGGTTCAGATAATCGTCACTGGTGTTGGCCGTGAGCGGGAATCGAACTCGGGTCGCCGGGTTCGTAGCGCAGCGTAGCGCTAACCACTACACTTTGTGGATCACACGCAGAGATGTTGTGACACTCCTTTACCGTCAACGAGGAGGTCGGTGCCATACCCCTGGCTGGCCAGGAGAAGGCGGTACAGCAAGTGGGACTAATCTGCTTACATCTGTCGGTATGTGTGTGTGTGTGTTCAACTTCTTTTGCACCGTACGTAGCCAACCATGCTCATGGGAGGTGCGCGAAAATCGGGGATAGAGTGTTGCACCCTCGCGCAAGGCGTGGGTTTTCTCCGGGTGCTCCGGTTTCTTCCTCCGCACGTGAATAATAATACATTTCGATTTAAAGCTTTCGTGACTGCAGGGATTCATCTTCTTGGTTCTTTCGGTAAAGTCACGTAGAAGGGAAATAATAAAATAATAAAAATTAAACATAATAAAATAATTCTCACGACGTTTCGACCACAACGCAAGCAGCCGTCCTCAGGTGAAGAACAGACGCTGTCTTTCCGACAGACCTGGTCTTCACCTGAGGACGGCTGCTTACGTTGTGGCCGAAACGTCGTGAGAATTATTTTATAATGTTTTATTTTTTATTATTTTATTATTTCCCTTCTACGTGACTTTACCGAAAGAACCAAGAAGAAGAATAATACAGTTATAGAAACTCATTACCATTTATCGGCTGAAACATCTTTAAAACAAAAAACTAGAAAAAAACTAGTTTTACGACGTAATGTGGCTTTCTTGGATTAAAACAATATTGATATTAAAGTTATACGAATCTGGGAAGGCACGCACAAACACAAACAGGCACATCTACCACTGGATTATACAGCGGGCACCCACAAATACCAAGGGGAGTGACAAAGCTGCATCCTAAACCCTGCCGATTAAAAAGTGCAGAGAAAAAAAGTTGAGATGCGTTTCGATCCAAATCGCTCTCCACAAACACGCACAACACGGCCATCAGAGAGATGAGCTCAACCCGAATAAAATTCACAATTCAATAGCCAATCCGCACAATTCAATAGGCAGTCTGTACAATTCAAAAGCCAGTCCGTACAATTCAATAGGCAGTGCGGACAATTCAATAGCCAATCCGTATAATTCAAATGCCAGTCCGCACAATTCAAATGCTAGTCCGTACAATTCAATAGCCAGTGCGTACTATATGTAATAATATGTCCACATGTTTTATATATATATAAATACCGGTGTATATTTATTTAATTATTCACCAGACCCTGCATGTGTTTTGTATTGTGAGTGAAAAACACTGTTGGGAAAGAGCAGTCATTCCTTTGCTAAGTACTTAAATAGCAGCCAGAGGAACGTGCAGCATGTGCCAGAAGAAATATATATACAGTCTTCTTGGTTCTTTCGGTAAAATCACGTAGAAGGGAAATAATAAAATAATAAAAATAAAACATAATAACATAAATAATAATTATTTATTTTCTACGTGACTTTACCGAAAGAACCAAGAAGATGAATCCCTGCAGTCACGAAAGCTTTAAATCGAAATTTATTTCGTTATGTTTTATTTTCATTATTTTATTTCCCTTCTACGTGACTTTACCGAAAGAACCAAGAAGATGAATCCCTGCAGTCACGAAAGCTTTAAATATAAATTTATTTTATTATGATTTATTTTTATTATTGTATTATTTCCCTTCTACGTGACTTTACCGAAAGAACCAAGAAGATGAATCCCTGCAGTCACGAAAGCTTTAAATCGAAATATATCTACAGTGTTTCTACCTCTTCCCGTGTGTGTGTATATCATTATGCTACGGCCACTTCTAGAATAGCACATGTGGCACGCCACGGTGACGATATGTTTACTCCCTCGCCTGGTATGCAGGAAGTCCGTGGGTTTGATCTCGACCCTGACGCCTGCTGCTGTATATTTGGAGTTTGCGTGTCTCTCTCTCTCTCTCATCATCATCACGGTGGCTAGGAGATGTCAACTACCTCGCCTGGTACGCAGGAGGTCGTGGGTTCGATCTCGACCCTGACGCCTGCTGCTGTATATTTGGAGTTTGTGTGTCTCTCTCTCTCCCCGTGGAGAGATTGTTAACTACCTCGCCTGGTACGCAGGAGGTCATGGGTTCGATCTCGACTCTGACGCCTGCTGCTGTATATTTGGAGTTTGTGTGTTTCTCTGCCTCTCTCTCATCATCATCACGGTGGCTTGCAGATGTTTACTCCCTCGCCTGGTATGCAGGAAGTCCGTGGGTTTGATCTCGACCCTGACGCCTGCTGCTGTATTTTTATAGTTTGTGTGTCTCTCTCTCATCATCATCATCATCACGGTGGCTTGCAGATGTCAACTACCTCGCCTGGTACGCAGGAGGTCGTGGGTTTCGATCCCGACCCTGACGCCTGCTTCTGTATATTTGGAGTTTGTGTGTGTCTCTCTCTCTCTCCCCGTGTTGAGATTGTTAACTACCTCGCCTGGTATGTAGGAAGTCCGTGGGTTTGATCTCGACCCTGACGCCTGCTGCTGTATTTTTGTAGTTTGCGTATAAACCCGAGGGACGTCTCTGCGCTCGAGTCGCGTGCTCGATCCGATACGGTCCATTCGATAGTCGCCCCGTGGCCACTCACTTCGAGTTTTCAACGAGACGGCGGCGTGTTTAAAGGTAGGTCGGGAGGCGATGGGAGGTCGTTGCGAATTGCCCACGGGTTTTGTTGCGCGAATCGCAGCAGCCGTGACGGGGTTTGGACAGTGAAGTATTCATCTAGCGGTGGATAGACGCCGGATCGCTGCGATGAAACGACGGAGACCCTAAGAAGAGGTGGAGGGGGGGGGGGGCTGGCACTCACCGCACTGAAAATATGCAAGAGAGTCATAATTTTTTAAACCAAAAATTGTAACTTTGTACGTCCAACGTACATATGCTCCAGTGTGTACTAACAATAGCGAGATATGATAATTGTTTTTTTACCCTTCTATCTGGAAACAAAACTGACACCTATTTTACAAGGAGTCATGTTTGCATAGGCCACAATATCTGCAGTCATAATGCAAACAAAAAACTCATGTTTGCATAGACCACAATACCTGCAGTCATAATGCAAACAAAAAACACAACTCTTTTGTTTGCATTATGACTGCAGGTATTGTGGTCTATGCAAACATGACTCCTTGTAAAAAAAGGTGTCAGTTTTGTTGCCAGATAGAAGGGTAAAAAAACAATTATCATCATTGGACCTCCTTTGCCAGTATCACGATATAAGAAAGTTGTCTCGGATGTGGACCAATCAGTTTCAAAGACAATGCATCATACTGTCAGAGCATGGTTTTTTGTTTGTATTTTCACCACAAGCAGCTGTGGTTAATGCGGACATGATTCCTTGCAAAAAGGTTTCAGTGTGGTGTTTTAGCATCTTGACACAATTGTTTTGTTGCCAGAAAAAAGGGGTTAACCTATTACTCTTTGGTTCTTATGGTAAAGTCACGTAGGTGAAAATAAAAATAATAATACAAAAATAAAATAAAAATGAAAATAACTATAGGGTTAACCTATTCTTATGACAAAACATTTTATGGAAAAAAAATCATTCAAATTGTTTAATATTCACACAAAAATTACCTTCGGTCTACAATGGACCATATCCGATGATTAACGCGTCTGTGGAATCCACCCCCTTTTTAGGGGACCCTTAAAAGGGGCTGGAACCAGTGTTTCTTAAACTGAGGAGGGGGGGTGGGGTGAGACACGGCCAGATTTATTTTTTGGAAGGAAAATAATCGAAAAGACAAATTAAGCACGGGCACATTCAGTTACAGCGTTGTTTTAATTCATCAAACCCTCGATGTGTGTTTATTAACATTGCACATTGCGTTACGATTAAGAAGCCAAGGGGCCGTCTTGACAGCAAGACAAACGATAACTTAAATGCGAGTAGTGTAACCTTAAATTAATTTAGATTTAAAGCTTTCGTGACTGCAGGGATTCATCTGCTTGGTTCCTTCGGTAAAGTCACGTAGAATGGAAATAATAAAATAATAATCTTCTCGACAGACCTGTTCTCCACCTGAGGACGGCTGATTGCGTTGTGGCCGAAACGTCGTGAGAATTATTTTATAATGTTTTATTTGTATTATTTTATTATTTCCATTATACGTGACTTTACCGAAAGAACCAAGAAGATGAACCTTAAATTAGTTTTTTTTATCAATACCGTCACTGGGAGACTGCCTTCCTCTAAAGGCAACAACACATGGTGCGACTAAAACAAGACAGACCTGTTTCTTCACCTGAGGACGGCTGCTTGCGTTGTGGCCGAAACGTCGTGAGAATTGTATTTTATTATGTTTTATTTTTATTATTTTATTATTTCCTTCTACGTGACTTTACCGAAAGAACCAAGATGATGAATCCCTGCAGTCACGAAAGATTTAAATCGAAAAATTAAAACAACATATGTACAGTGTGCTTCAAAAAAATGTTAACACTTCAGAGAATTTTGCAACAATAACCACGAGGATTGTGTTGCCTCCGGGCGCTGGAGACCACCGGGAGAAGATTCCAGTCCACGCGTTGACAATGAAGGCGAACAAGTGGGGAGACTCATAACTTCTTCTTGGTTCTTTCGGTAAAGTCATGTAGAAGGGAAATAATAAAATAATAAAAATAAAACATAATAAAATACAATTCTCACGACGTTTCGGCCACAACGCAAGCAGCCGTCCTCAGGTGAAGAACAGGTCTGTCGGAAAGACAGACAGCCTCAAATAAGTACCTGGTGCGGTGTGTAGTAAACATCAACACTGGGGAGACAAAGGCGGCCGGGCGTAGTGCTGGCCACCCACCCCCTCGTGTGCTGTGCCGCTAACAGCACTTGCCCCTACAGTCTGTTCAGGCTATACTGGAGATCTTTTTTTGCTTGTGTGTGTGCACGTGTGTGTGTGCATGTGTGTGTGTGCACGTGTGTGTGTGCACGTGTCTGTGTGCATGTGTGTGTACATGCACGTGTGTGTGCACATGTGTGTGCGTGCACGTGTGTGTGCGTGTGCGTGCCATGCGTGCGCGCGCGTGTGTGTGTGCGTGTGTGTGCGTGCACGTGTGTGTGTGCGTGTACGTGTGTGTGTGCGTGTGTGTGCATGTGTGTCTGCACGTGTGCACGTGTGTGTGCGTGCGTGCGTGTGTGTGTGCGTGTGTGTGTGCATGTGTGTGTGTGTGCACGTGTGTGTGTGTATGTGTGTGTGCGTGTGCGTGCACGTGTGCACGTGCGTGCGCGCGCGTGCAGAACTGTGAACGTGTGAATGGGAAACGGGCGAAGCATAAGGAGGTGGTGGGGGGAGG